TGCAAATGTCGCTATCATGGCATCAAATTGTTCGACGTGCTCTTGCCGTTGACGTCTCTCATAACGAGTCCAAAGTCTCCTCGCAACACCCTCTGACACCAAAAAACTCTGTGTTGCGTCCCTGCACAGACTTGTAACTGTACCCTATAGAATTGGGGAAAACCTGCAACACCCCTTCGGGTCATTGTATCGACTGAAACAGCGGAAACACTCGGCATGTGTTGCGTTGCAAATGTGAATGTTGAACGGCTCCGTTTCAGGGATTTTACCTCCCTTTGTAGTTTTGCTGCATGTCCACCACTCTCACAGGACGTCATAGGAATGCTAGGAATGTGCTTAAGCCGCACAAAGAGCTCCTGAGGGCGAAAAGGGACCTTACGAACTTAGCTAAACGCTGGGACCGCAACCGTTGATATAGAACGTTTTGGAGGCTATTGTGGCGACTAATAGTGCAAAGGGAACTATGAAAAAGACGTATCGCGAGAGGCAGGCCTGTTTTTGACCGGCATGCCCTGTTTGGCGGCCCCAAATGGATAAATGAGGCAACACAGTTGGACAGAATTACTGAGGCTCCTCGCAAACATCGCAACCCGTTCGTCAATCTCCCAAACAGGAACATGCCATGCACAAGCAACCGTTACAAAACCTTTATTCCTTTAAAATTGTGTACAAAAGAAATGTGGATTTCTGAGCCCCATTCTGTGCTTTGCATCATTATTTCACAGAAGTAGGAGTCTTGTCACCGACTGTTATGACCTGAAAAGTACCCTTCCAAGGCCCCGCGTTCCTCATTCCATGCCTTCCGGCCCTCCACCCCCCGCGGCCGCGGCCGTCCCCGGCCCAGATCTCGATCCGGCCCAAAAATTCTCGATCTTCTCACGGTGTTCACATCTGCGACTGCGATTCTCGAGCCTGACGTGGATCTGCAGACCCCTGCCTCCGTGGATAAGTTCCTTGCCACCATGGACAAGTCTCCGGCCGCCAAATACCTTCTTGCATCCTTCCGTGGTGATACCGCCTTCGGGTCCCTCATTCGCGTCCTCAATACACTGTCCTGCCAAAGCCTTCCCCAGGCCCCTGCAGCTCCATCCCTCACTGCCAACCACCATCCGTCTGCTACTCCCTACCTCCACGCTGCCAAGAAATCCCCTCGCAAACCGCTCTCTCGCGTACCCGCCGTCAGTTTCTGTCCTCAGGCCCCGCCTGCCACCATCCCCCCCTCCTCCCTTTTCTCCAAAGCTCGAAGCTGACCTCCGCTATGTCAGCCGCGACCTGTTCGGCTACAACAAAAAAACGCTTCTTCAAAGTGTCTACCGTCGACCGCCGCCCGTTTGTCAATCCCCACGCATTCCGCTCCGCGCTAAACAAGACTCATTTCAACGCTCCCTGTTCTATCATTCCGACCCTCGAACAACACACCATTGTGATCTGCGCTCAGCAGAACGATCTTCTCCGGGTCGCTCGCCTTTGGGCGCTCTACCGTGAAAGCGTCACAGACACCGCCTTGCCGCCCAACATTACTGTGTCGTTCCCATTTGACCTGGACGCGCACCTTCCCGTGCCTGAGATTCGAAATATTCTCGACCCTCTGCGCACTGAGATCCGCCGACTTGAACATCCGGAGTGTCCCTGGCGCCCTGCACGCTACTATGCGGAAACTTTGCGCACTGCTGAGCACGTCCTGTGGGAGACCCTTAAAGACTCCAGTATTCTCTCTCTCCCCCCTTCGCCCCCCAAACGTCCGCGCGATCCGTCACCTGACGCTCCCGCTTCTCACCTGCCCGAACACCGCTCTGCCCACCCCCGTCCCGATCCGACCGCGTCGCCCTCCGCTCTACCTCTCCCTATGGACATGGATACGCCTCTCCCTGCCCAACCCACACTCCAATAATGGCGAATCGTCAACCCGTCATGATACCGCGCACCTGCTGCCCTCCCCCGACATTGTTTTCAACGCCCCTATACCATGTCTCCACCGCCTGCCCCACTCCATCCACTTGAGCTTCCACGACATTATGTGCAAGCTTTGTCACTTTGCCAACACCGCCAAGACCGCTACGGTGCAAGCTGAATCTTTCGGTCGCATTCTTGCAATATCTAAACTCGTGTTTCGTAAGAACGGAAAAGGGGAGCCTCGAAACTGCAACCGACCCGCCTCACTCGCCTCCCTCAAACGCCGCTTAGATGCCTGGAACCAGAGAAACCTCCCTCAGTTACACGACCAAGCTCTGGACGCGTTCGGCGCGTTGCCCTCCGCCACCGCTCGCCCAGATCCCGACCCCCTCCGCCGCTACCGCCAACTTATGCAACAACAAGCCATTCAAAAGGCAGCCGCGTCACTTTGCTCCACGAAACATCCGGTTTTTCCAGATCCCGATGCCGCCTCGACGCTCCTCCGTCTTCATCCACCTCCCCGTCTCCCGGTTCATCCCTCTGCTCCCGCTAGTCTTCCGCCCGGACTCAAGTTTACCGAGGCCGAAGTGCGACGCGCCATCAAAGAGCTCCCATACCACAGTGCTCCTGGACCTGATGGGTTGCGCCCGTCTCCCCTTAAGGTTCTCCTTAAATCACCGGGCGGCGTGGCTCCCCATCGGTCGGCTCTTGCGGAACTTACCATATTTATCAACAAATGTGTGGATGGTCAAGTTCCCTCCTTCTATCGCGACTGGTTCGCGGGTGCTCTCCTCATCGGTCTACGTCAGACCGGACACTCCAAAATCCGACCTATCGCCATGGGTCTGGTTCTTCGCCGCCTTATTGGACGTCTTCTAGCCAAGAAAGTTTCCACTGACCCTCAGATTCAGAAGCACTTCCTTCCACATCAGCTCGCGATTGGAACACGAGGTGGCACCGAAGCTATCGTCCATGCCACTCGCGCCACAGTCACGCGACTCGCCTCCGAGGACATGGTACTTCTGAAAATCGACGCCTCAAACGCGTTCACCGCGATAGAACGCGAACTCTTCCTGAAGTTGGTCATCGAAACTGTGCCGGGAATATCCCGGTTTGTCCATATGTTATACCGGTCCACCCCGCGCCTTCTCTTTGGCCGTTACGAGATCCTGAGCCTGAACCGAACTCAGAAAGGTGATCCGCTAGGCATGCTACTCTTTTCATTGGTCTTGCAACCACTGCTTCAGCAGCTAGCTAACATATTCCGTGACTTGCGTCTTCTCGCAGCGTACGCCGATGATGTTAATATCATTCTGCATCGCTTCCGAGCAGCTACAGTCCTCGAATTCCTCCGCATCGAAGGTCCCTCGCGTGGTTTTACTATCAACATGGTCAAGACAGAGGCGTGGTGGTGGGGCCGCGACCTTGGCCCGCTACCTTGTAGTGTCAACAGACAACCAGCTATCGACATTCTTGGCGCTCCGATTGGCGATCTGCACGGCAGCACGTCCCTTCTCCACAACAAACTGCACCTCGTGGAACATATGTGGGATCGCATCCGTGATCTGCAGGATCCACAACTCAGCTATCACCTACTACGCCTCACGGCTAGTGCCAGCCGATTGACCTATGCCCTCCGATGCACCCCGCCGCATATCACCTCCCCGGTCTGCCTTGAGTACGACAAGGGATTGCGAAAGGTCTTTGAGGACACTCACCTCGCACTTACCGATGACGCCTGGAATCAAGCGCAGCTCCCGACCAAGGTCGGCGGCCTGGGACTTACACTGACAGCTGATGTCATGAACGCAGCGTACGTGAGCTCCCTACTATCTGCCCTGCCACTCGTCGACACCCTCACATCCACCAGCCGCGACCGGCTTGTGCCTTTACTACGCCGCCCGATGGACTCTCTGAATTCTCTTGTTACCCTTGGCGAAGACTACCGCACGGATGTCCTCATTGCGAATGCCCCTACAGAACACATTGACACAGAAAGTCATGGATCACCGTTTGGCCCAACTACAGCCGTCGCGTCGTGATCGTACGGACTTGGGAATTCGCACTCGCGTCCGTTTTCAGTCGCTGGACTCTACTACCGCGACCCGACCCTTCCTGGCCCTGCCACATTCTGACAACGGCACACGTGTTGCGCCTGAGATATGGATAACGATGGTAGAGATCCGATTGGGCAATCCAATTTTCAATGGCACTGATCCTTGCCCATCTTGCACTGCCAACCAACACCGCAAAACGGAACACCGCCTACCTCTCCGCACACGCCCGATTCCTACCCTGGATGTTCATGGCCACCACGCGACTATCTGTTCCTGTGACGATGGCTCTACGCGCCGCCATAACATATTGCGGAACCGTCTACTGAGCTTTTTGTCCCCTTACCCGAACACTGTTAACGCAATTTCTGAATGGCGTGTGTCCCCAGACCGCGACAAACCCGAAGCGGAACAACGTCGGATTGATGTCTATGTGGACGACCCTAGTTTCGCTCCCAGTCCGCATGCCTTCGATGTTACCATTGTCAGCCCTCATTCTCGCAACAGTGGCTGGCGGTCACGGACCTCTGCGCAAAAGATCGCGCAGGCAGAGCGCGATAAGCACAACACTTACGCTGATGTCTGCTCCCCCACTACCACCGTACAGCTGCACCCCCTGGAATGGGATATGTACGGGGCCGCAGGTCCCGGCACGCAACGAGGCCTACACATCGTTGCCGACTACATTGCTACTCGCACTGGGAACTCCCCATTATCTACATGAACGGTTGCGCCTTAGCACCATCCTTACTTCCCTCGTCCTCTAATATACGGCTTTATCCGTTAACAGACGTCGGATACGGCTTACACCAATTGCTTTACATACAGTGCCGAAAAAAAGTATAGGGACAGCATCAATACTCACATTGCTGGCATGCAATATTGTAAAGACCAAATTTGAGGTACGTCTAGGAGTGTAAAAGCGACGAGGAGACCGAATCTGGGGTCAGATTTAAAGATCGAGAGCTCATTCACATGATATTTATAGAAACCTTATTTATGGGTGTTCGAAAGTATAAGGTACAGCGCATGTCTTTCACAACTTCATCGCTCCTAGTACTTCGTCGGACCTCCCTTTGCCATTAAACACTCAAAGCACCGCTTTTGCATGGAACGGACAAGGTTTTTCAGGCATTCTTCTGAAACTTTGTCCCATTCCATTATAACTTCTAAAAGCTCATCCACGTCCTTAAATTGACGTTGGTGGGCATAAACAGTTCGCGCTGGGATGCCGCATAAATTCTCGATAGGATTCAGGTCAGGTGACTTGGCAGGCCACTCTAAGAGAGGAATTTCCTCCTCGTCAAACCACTGAAAAGTACGTCTAGCGCGGTGTATGGATGCACCATCTTGCATAAGCACCCAAGTTGGACCCATTTCTTGATCCACAAACGGCAAAAGATAAGACTCTAATATATCCATATACTTAATAGCATCCAGTTTTCCATTTAAAACGGCGAGCTCGCACTTCTTAGTACCAGAAAAAGCGCCCCAAACCATTACAGAATCCCCACCCTGCTGCCGTTTTGAGAACATCCGCTTGTCGGTCCGTAAATCGTGCCAATAGTACCCGAACCCATCCGGCCCATCCAAGTTGAATTTCGTCTCGTCCGACCACACCACATTCATCCAATCCGACACCGTCCAAGTGACCTTTTGGCGACACCACTGCTCCCGTGCAATTTTGTGTCTCGGGAGCATCATCGGAGCGGGGACCATTTTGCTGTACTGAATAGTTGGCGTGGCACGTAGGATACTTCGCACAGTAGATGGAGTTACAAGAAGACTAAGGGTCTTAACCAACTCTGAAGAACAGAAATGCCCTTTGTGGGCTTCGCGCAAGAGAGCACGTCGAGCCATGGCGGTGAGTTTGGGGGGCCTACCGGGCATTTTCTTCTTCCCGTACAGGCCCGGGTTCCTTAAAAACGTGGCTAATACGTTACGGGAGCGCGAGAGATGCGCTGCAATTCGCCTAATTGTCCAATTGTTGAGACGAAGAGCCTGGATCTGCCCTTGTTCATGCTGGCTCAGATGCGTACCGCGAGGCATTTTTTGCTGTGCCGAAGCGAAAGCACATGTTTTGTGCTTTCGCCTTCCTTTTGTATGCGTTTAGTCTCTTTTGCCAGTCTCTTCGCGGGAGATACTGCATTGTGTAGAGCGGGGTTTTAAAGAAACTGCTGTGTACCTTATACTTTCGAACACCCATAAATAAGGTTTCTATAAATATCATGTGAATGAGCTCTCGGTCTTTAAATCCGACCCCAGATTCGGTCTCCTCGTACTTTTACAGTTCTGGACGCACCTCAAATGTGGCCTTTACAATACTGTATGCCAGCAATGTGAGTATTAGGGCTTTGCGTCAAAAGCTCGCTTTTTGCGTAGATCACAGCTGCTAAAGGAAAGGCAGCCGCACTTCAAAAAAAATTGACGACATCCTGACCACACAGAAATGCAACAACCGCCGAATTATAATGGAAAACGACGTCTGACATCCAAAATGGCACTTTGTTTACAGAAAAGTGCTATGTTCTTGCAACACACCAGTGTTTCTCACGGAGCCTGTGTTTCCGTTCCCAAACTGGCACCACGCATCTGGACATTCAAACGTTGTCGACGACGTATCCTATACAGCGCCTGTCCTTGCCTGCGCTTCGTCACTCGCTCATACCCTAGCTTGTAGAGACGATTCTTCCATCCCACGTAGAAGTTCCGATCCCCAGCCCTCAGCGGGTTCCACTTGACATGCAAATTAGTCATTGCAAGACAGAAACAAAAAATAGTATCGTATGACGCCTCAGCCCACCGAAACTTGCTCCCAACAACAGTCCACAAAGAACACAACCGACCAAAAAAGTTTTCAACAATAATTCGGCCCCCCGACACCTTGCGATTGAATCGCTCCTCGTCGTGCGCAATGGCTCTGTTCTTTGTCCGCTTCACGGGGTGCACAACTCTCAACATCTCAGTAGCTCCTTGGTACCCCTTATCGGCGAGTACTGCCCATTTCCCTGGAAAGTCATCGCTCAGCGGCCCGACATCAGCAACACTTGATTCATCTCCTTTTTTCCCGAGCCACTGCTTGTGATAGGCTTTCATCCTGCTCATTATTTCTATATCTGCCACTGAACCGCCATAGTGTTTGCCGCATCTAATTGCTAGCCCCGTGGGCAAAACAGAAACCGCGGTCTTCAGACCATACAATTTGTGCTTCCCGGAATAGTAATGCTTCCCTTCCTGCATCGTCCCAACAGGGCGGTTGCTCTGCTGAAAGATAACATCGGTGGCGTACCGTGCGAATGAAAAGTGTCTAAAAGTACGCCCCCTCTCCATTAACGCCATCATTGGGAAAGTGTCATCATTTTTTTCTACATACACCCGATACATTTCGTCCGCCATCAAACCAAGAAATCGTATCACCAGGCGCTCGAAAGTTGGTCCTTTCATAGCAAATTTTGAAGCTAACCATTCCCATGTTCCCCCATGCTTTACAGACGCAAGCGTCATAAAAAGGATGTCCTTGTTTGCGACCGACGTTTTTCGGCCTCGTCCAGTGTTTCAATTGTCTCGGATGAAATCGGCGGAGGCCTCCCAAAGAAGGTTGAATTGCTGGGCTGTGAAGTTGGTCATATGGAGAAACATGGGTGGGCCGGCCTCACTGTAGAATGCGTCGATGATAGGGCATGCCGAGTCCGACTCCTCGTCGGATGCGCTCGATTCCTCCTCACGACTGTGCTGCTGTATCTCAGCTGCTCTGTCTACAGCGGCCTCTGCAAGCAAGTGAAGCGCATTCGCTGCGCTCCGGGGAGTGATGAGAGGATTCATAGAAAAATATCGAGATTGGGAAAGAGTTTCGGGAATGGCGGCGAGGAATGGTAAGGGATTACGTAAAAGTTGAACGTTTTATCTAACACAGTGTCTTCTCTGTGTTTGTCCGCGTTTTTTTGAAAACGGTTCTAGTTGCGGTGATTCCTATGCTTTCGGTACGTGTAACACATCTATGAGTGCCATTTGTTGGTTATCGTGATTCAGATAATTTCTGGAATTTGAGCTCTCAATCTGTTACATGACATCCCTTACTGTATTGAGTCCGGCTTTTTGCAGCCAAGTGCAAATTGATAGAAAGGCCTAAAGGCGACCCCCTCAATTAGTGCACCCCCGTGCCATGCGCATTCTTTGTGCACTATCTTCACTGTGCTTTATCTAAGGGGCTCGCTAAAAAGTAGTTTACGGGGCAACGAAATGTTCCGTTACCAGCGTCTGCCGTCGCTGACGCTTCGTGTGTTCACTATAGACACGGCTCAACGCTCGCTTAGCAAGATGTTGCATATCGTTCTTGGAGAGCAGTTGAAATCACGCTGCAAATCGACGTGCCGAGCACCCTGTGAAAGTCGCCGCAGCACCTCCTCTTTTTGCGAAAGGGTAAGGCGGGTTCTTGACGCCCTGGATGCTGGTTCAGATGTGCTCATTGTGTGATTAGTTGTTCGAAGATGCATAAGGTTGCTGGGATCTGTAAAAGAATGGAACCCGCTCTCTACGGACGGCGACGACCATTGCGCTCCCGTGAACATACGTGTACACCTGTACAAAGTCGTGCCAAGCGATCAGAGGGTGCATTAAAGTCCAATATGCACTAACTAAAAGTGCACTAATTAAGAGACCCCCCCTGTATTGATGCTGTCCCTATACTTTTTTTCGGCACTGTACCCTAGGTTGGCCCTAATGCTCTTGCATAGGGCCGCCCCTGTACTTTCTCCATAAAGTCGACCATTCAAGGGTACACCTCTGCGAACAGCCGTGCGGACAGCACCGGAAGAGAAGTGAACACTCGTACTGTACTACTTCACAGAAAAGTTGAGCACCACCCATGCACCCCGTTCCCCTTGTGGGAACGATGACCCCTTTTACCTCCTGTGTTGGGTTCCACTACATGCTACTTATACTGATTCCATTGGATGTACACGTGTGCGGTCTGTTAGAGTAGCATTGTTGGTAGTATCTGTGAGTGTGGTGTGTGTGTGCGGTCTGTCAGCCCCCCTCTCACGGATACTGCGCAATGCGGAGGGTTTGGGTGCAATGATGTTAAGTTGAGCAGTGAAGTCTGTGAATCGCTGTCCGTGGAGAGGTTTGGTGAACAGGTCGGCTAGCTGGTCTTTGGTCGGAATGTAGCGAATGACGATCGTCCCTTTCTTGAGGTGATCATGGATAAAGTGCTCTTTGATGTCGATGAATTTGCGCTTTTTCGTTGGGCATGTGTTCTTCGCGACTTGAATAGCTGCTTGATTGTCGACATGTAATGGGGTGGGGTCGGTGTTGTAGAGTTGTAGATCTTGTAGAACGCGTCGCAGCCATGCGGTTTGTTGCACCGTCGAAGTAGCAGCAATGTACTCGGCTTCGCATGTGGACAGCGCAATGACTGCTTGCTTCTTTGAGGACCAGTCAATGGGGGAGCAGCCGAGTGTGTGGACGATGCCGGAGTATGATTTGCGGTCTTTCGTGCTGGCGAAGTCGGCGTCTGAGTAGCTTTGCAAAGGTGTGGGGTTGCAGTTGTAGTGGATTCCATGCGTGCTAGTATGTTTGAGGTATCTGAGGAGCCGCTTAAGGGCGGACCAGTGGTGTTGAGTGGGATTGTGCATGTTCGTGGATAGGAGATTGGTGGCATGGTAGATATCGGGGCCAGTCGAATCTGCGACGTATCGCAGGTCGCCTACGAGTTGTCTGTATGAGTTGTGCAGTTGGTCAGTTAGGGGCGTTTCGGCGTTTTTGTTTAGGGTGTTCTTCGTGGCGATGTAGGGAGTGGGTTTGGGGTTGCATTCGGATAGTTGTATTTTTGCGAGAATGGCCCTGATGGTGTGTGGTTGCGATATGTGAATACTTCCGTCTGGGAAACGTTGCAGTTTCCAGTTGAGGAGGAGTTTGGGGTTCGGGAATCGCTTGATTGTGTATTTGGTGGAGAGGATTGTGTGCAGTTCGTCGAGTAGGAGTTGGTTAGTTGCAGTGGCCAGGAAGTCATCCATGCTAACAGTAAAGATGACATTTGTGGTGCTAGTGAGCTTGTAAAAGAGGCACGGGTCGTGGTGTGATTGCGTATAACCGTGGGAGAGTAGGAATGTGGTTAGTTGGGTGAGGTAGATGTTGGCTGCAGGCGGGGTGCCGTAGAGATTACCGATGAGGATACCATGGCGGCCGGGGTGTTTGTAGGATCCGTCGAATTTGAGGTGTTGGCGGATATAAACTGGCTGATCGTGTTGGTATTTCTCGTGGAGGTAGGCTGCAGTGATGTCAAGGGTTTCAGTGGGCTGGTTGAATGCGGCGGCAATGGCAAGAACGGCACGTATTGTGGCAGGGTCCGCCATGTATGAAGTAGTTTGCTCTGGATTGTAGTGTTTGTGTGGTGTCATACAATCGCCTCTGACGGCACAGCGAGCTTTCCGAGATTGTATGCTGCCGTCGTCACGGCGTTTGTACTTGTACGTCATCATCAGGGGAATTAGTTGCGCATTATCTGGGATCTGTGATTTCGGTGTCCATTTGATGGTGTGGTTGTTGTCAAGGTTATCCAGTTCGGCGTCATGAGCTTTTTGCCAGAGTGCTGCGTCGGCGTACCTGCGCGCAGCAGTTAGTGATTTGGGGTTAGGGGTGGTGGGGGTGGTTTGTGTATGTGCGTGCGGGGATGGTGTTGGTTTGGGCTGAGTGAGGAATGCGTTGTGGGGGTGTATTGTGGGGTCATGCTGTCTGTAGTAAGGTCGGAAGTCAATGGAGCGGATTTGGTGGTATGTGTTGTTGGCGATGCTGAACACCATGATATGGGTCATGTTGATGCCGTACATATAGCGTGATGAAAATGCGCGTGGTTGTAGCTTTTTCTTTTTGTCTTGATGGAATGGTGCGAAGCCCAGTTGTTCAAAGGTGAACATGTGGGCTGGGTTTGGTTTGTGGTTGTAAAATTTTTCATGGGGTGAAGTGCAGATGCTTTTGTGGTATATCATGTTGTACTTGAAGACTGCGTCCCGGACTGCGTCTTCCCAATGAGTATCGTCGAGCCGCGAGTG